GGCTATAAAGTGGAATACTATACAGCTGTCAAAACTAATGATGTAGATCTATAGATGTCTATGATATAGCATTAAATAAAAAAAAAAAGAAAGTGTGATGGCGTATGCCTGTTATCTCAGCACTTTGGGATGCCAAGACAGGGGGATCACTTGAGGCCAGAACTTTGACACTAGCCTGGGCCACATAGGGAAACACTGTCTACAAAAAAAAAAAGAAAATTAGCTGGGCATAATGGTGGTGCACACTGATAGTCCCAGCTACTCTGGATGCTGAGACAGGAAGATCACTTGAGCTCAGGATTTTGAGATTACAGTGAGCTATGATTTTGCCACTGCACTGCACTCCAGCCTAGGCAACAGAGCAAGACTTTGTCTCTAAAAAAAAAGAAAAAGAAAAAAGAAAGAGAGAGACAAAACTAAAATAAAAATTGGGAAAAAAAGATAAAAAGATGCATGTGTTTTCTTGGGAAGCTATGATTCCAAAATTCCCTTTGAGCTGGTCATATAAAATATGCAAATACATTAGATTAGATAGTATATGCTGGTCCTATATGTATATTTTTCTGCAAGTATGCATGCTGAGTTGGAAATTAGATCATTTTAAGTTAACTTTTATTGATTTTTAAACTAAAAATAGGGAGGCAAATAACTATAGTAATAAAGTTTCTTCTCATTTTCAAACTTATGAAGTGCCATTATACTTCAGCAATCTGTAGACTGGCTAATCCATCAGTGAGTCCCATTGTTGTGTATGAACATATTATATATGAAATCCACTTGAACTGTAGAAGAAAAACGTTTAGTATTGACTAGCTTAGCAAATACATCAGGAACCTGAACTAAAGCAATTAGCCTGTATCATGCTCATGTGTTATTTCTTCAAAATCATAGAACAGTGAAAAGAATAACATTATCTCAACACAACAGGCATTCTCAAAAAAGAGTAAGCCTTTAAAAAGGTACAAAATTCAGGCCGTTACTCAACCAAAAGCGTGTCAAATCACCCTTATTCTCAAGTTAAAAGCCACTAAACCGGCTCTCCGCATTTTAATTATCCACAAACCCACTTATGTCCTGAAGAAAGAACTATCTATATGAACCTTTCTGCATTTGGTGGTACAAAGGCACTCTGCCCCTCAATATCATACCATGCCAAGAGATAGTCCTAGTCCTTCTTAGACTTTGATCCCATGTAGGTCTTTCCTACATGTACCGCCCTGTGAGGGGAAGCAGAGCTGCACTACGCAGGAATCCTCCCCTGTGAGTTCTCACCAACATCTCTTGTCTCACCCACACATCTCCTATTTTCCATTTTATAAACAATTCCCCTATATCTTCACCTTTCTTTCACTTACCTCCAACCACACCCAAGGAAAAGAGATTTTGGTTTTAAATAAAAAAAGAATAGTGGCTACAAGGGGATGAACCTAGGCAGGTTTTCAGGACCAGTGGGAAACAGAAGAGGACCTGAGAGATTGGACAAGGGCGAGGATACTGCACACTTTCCCTTTGAAAACCCTCTGGCTCAGCTCCAGACAGGCAATACAGTTTTACTGGGTGATGCTTTGAATTGGCCTTCAACATTTTATTTCTGTATTGTCTTCCTCGCCAATGACAACTCAAAGCCAGTATTGAGTTAAAACTACTTTGACATGAACTACAAGATGTGGAATTGGCACCCCTTTAATTTACCACTTTTCTCCATGAAACAGGGTGGAAAAGTAAAATGAGAGCAAAGGCTCCATCATAAGGAATGGAATAGGTAAAGGAAAACAGAGACATTGAGTCTCTTAAAATAATGTGGGAGCTGTTTCTGTCAGGAATAACATGTTACGTAATCTGAGTTTCATGAATCAGCAGTTTAGTCAGTAATTTACATGAATTTAAAAAGAAAGAGAGAAAACATGAGGATTGGAAAAGGTAAAGTGATTTCTGAAACAAGACAGGTTTCAAAAGTATTTTATTCCACTCCCACACAGACGAACGTTGACAGGCAGATGACTCAGTCTGGCTTCATTATGGGTTTCTTACCACCTAAGATCTTTCATGGGAAAGGCCATCCCATCTCTCATTTCTCCCTGATAGCCCTTCTCAATTCCTCCCACCAGGTAATGGCCATATTTTCCTTTCTAATTGAAGGTTATCCATCTGGAAATCACATACTTTAGGATACAGAGGGTTATGCTTAAAGGATAAAAATAGTTGAGGATTTTTTTTAAGTCCCTTTATGCTAAAGTAATTGCAGCATTCAGAAAACAAAACACATAGTAACATCAGATTCTTAAAAAAAAATGTATACTGGTACTAGCTATGATCCTTGTGTTTGAATTTGATCATAAATGTAAGTAGCTTAGATAGGGAAGAAAGCTGCCAACATAAACACAAACATCATTGTTTCTAACCTAAACTCTCAAAATCAAAATCAAGGTAAGATATTTGAGAGGGGAGAAAAATAACCTATTTTCTTTTTCAAAAACTAGAGATGACAAATCCTAAGAAATAAATCCAAAAGGCATGCCCGTCCTTTTTGTAGAAAATGTGTTTTATCAGATATTGTTTGAAATAAGAGAAGCATTGGATTAGGCCTGGAAATCTCTTAGGCATAAATCGATTACTATGGTATTTTGAGAGACATGTTTTGAAAGAGCAAGATATCTGAAGTCATTTGGAGTTATTCATTCCTCAAATGTCTGTTACAAGGATGCACGTGCCAGGCACGACCCCACTCATACTCTCTATTCAAGCCCTGCCTCTCATCTGCTTTGCAATCGTGGCTAAAGCACTTTAATATTTCTATGCTTCAGTTTCTTCATATGTAAAGATGGGATTAAAAAAGGGTTGAGATCAACCTCAGAAGGTCTCTCTGAAGAACAAATGAATATGTTTGGAAGCAACTTGTAAATCATGAAAATGTCTGTTGTGCCACAAATTACATCAGAGGAACATGTGCATTCCTGCTTCAAGAGACACCCATATCCTATTAAATAAGACTTGTCAGCTCATTTAATCATCTGCCTGGAAATTTAAATATATGAGAGAGAGAAAAAGGATGGAGAGAGGGAAAAAAGGACAGAGGGAGGGAGAAAGCTACTATGATGTGCAGATTTTGACATTACATCCATCATCATCACAACAAAATCATGTCTACCTTATTCACCATGTCAGGTCTCTACAATTCTGGGCATCCAGCCAAGATGCTCATTTGTAGAGGGTACTTTATTCTTAAAAAATATTCTCTCTATGTATCTGCAGATCACAAAATGGACACCTACAAGGCTGACCTACCAATTCAGTGTTACCAAGAGCAAACTGCAGTACATTTACAAAACATTTTTTTATGTTGATATGTACAAATAAAAATGTTCTATTTCATAGTACAACTCAAGTTCAATCTGACGCTCAAATCTAAGCTATGTCATATGAATAATGTGGAACAGATTAGGAATGAAGCTACTTTTAAAAACAAAATTAGGCATGATGCAGTGGCAGCTGAAGAAAGGGGGAAGTTCTGGTCTTTCCAGAGTTATCTGATGGGCACAATGGCGGATGAGAGAGACCATCTTACAGAAGCTGCTAGAGATCTGATAGAGACCTACTCAGCACTGTTGGAATTCCCTGAGCTCCAGACTCCCTTCCCTCAGGGAAATGCAGGGATGACAGCCTGTCTCACTGGAGTAGTAGCCAAGGGGGCCAGAAGGCACACCCAGTCCTAAAATATGCCTGAAACTTCCTCTAATGTTTCTAGCTCTTGCAATGACATTCCAGGAACTAAAGTATGCACAGCCTCTTCGTTGCTAGAACCGCTATAGTTTAACATTTTGAGTTAAGAATTTGAGTTAATATTTATAAAGCACTTAGAAAGACTCCAGCACATAGTAAGAGCTAGCTAAGTGCTTAGTAAACAAATAAAACACTTCCCAGATTGGTTGAGTGAAATCTCAACCTAGTGAGAAGGGAGGGAATCAAAATACACGACATTTTATTTTTCACCTTGATCAAGATGTAAAAATTGTAGTGCTCTTGCATCTCTAATACACCCTGTATAAACTTGTGCTGGTTTGAAATTCTACTCATGGTTCAGAAGTCACTGTAAAAATTCAGTGAAAGACTTTTAAGTTTCAAAAGACTAATCCTTTATCTTTTCTATCTTTCTGACTCACCATGCCTAAAAATGACAAAATCTAGAAATCTCAAAGTTAGAGGGTGCATACCCATGCTAAAACTGTGAGAATTAACAGACACAGATTCACGTGAAGAGACGGAAAAGATTCAAATCGGAGAACTTAAAAAAAGTAGCAACGCATTAAAGTCTCACACTCCAGGTCCGCTGACAACAGGTTAAAGATTCCTGTCCGCCCCACCCCTGCCACCGCCCGCATCCTCGCCCTCGCAGGTGACCCGCACCCACTTTTTAACCTCAGGTGGGGTCTCGCACCCTTGGCGTTCCCTTCTTTGGGCTCGGGGGCTGCGCACGGGTTCACAGTGTCCCTGTACAGACACCACACGGGTGTTTCGGAATCCCAAAGCAGACCCGAATTCACCCCGAAGGAACAAAGAACACAAACTCTCCAAGAGTCGGGGGCTGGGAACAGGTATTGCTTTCTCCCGGCCGATCAACTCCGAGATTTCCGGGGGACCCGGGAAAGCCGCGTTAGCGCGCCGAGGAGAGGCAGCGGCCGAGGCCCGGGCCGCGCTCGCCCCGCCCCGTCCCCTCCCGCCCCCTCCCGCCGCGGGGCTCCGACTGCGGCCCGGGCGCGCGCCGACCCTCCCGCCTGCTCCGCACCTACCGGCTCCGCGGCGCTGCCTCCCCGCTGGGTGGGCGGGCGCGGGGCCCAACGCCCTCGCGCTTCCTCCTTCCCGGCAGGGCCGCCGGGCGCCGGCGTTTCCTCCCTGACGCGTCACGGCCGCAGGCGGCTCCTCCCGCGGAGCGCGCCAGGCCGAGGCCGGCCGCGCGGCCCACAGCGCGCCGGGGAAGGCGCCAGCTCGGGGCGAGGGGCGCGAGCGCCCGAAACTGCGGGGCTGGGGGCAGCGGGCGCCGCCGGGGGGCTGCAGGCGCGCACCGCCGCTCCGGCCTGGAAACCAGCCCTCCTCTCTTCCCCGGACCCCCGCGGAAGGCCGGGCCGCGGCGCGCGGGCTGCCCCCGTCACGCGGTGTGCAAAGTTCAAGAGGACACCGCGGGATCCTGCCTAGAGGCGCAGACTCCTGGGTGTTTCCCGCTGCCCAGCGGATCGATAGGGACCGCTACGCTGGGGCCCAAGGTCGGCGTGGGCCAAAGCGCCGGGGCGGGCCGTGAAGACGACCTTGGTGTGTGGAGGGAGCGGGACCACTTGACCTCCAGAGGGATAAGAGCTCCCCCCCACCCCCAGGATTGACCTGGGTGGCCTGTGGCTCCGTGTAAACTGGAAAGTCAGAGAAGTGAAATAAGTATCCAAATAATTTAGGAGGACAGCTATGCTTCACTTATTATTTCAACAGTTTTCTACTTGTTTTCATCAGCAGAGGTAGGACCTTTGTGTTTATTAGATAGGCAAGAGCTTTCACAAACTGAGAGTTCCTGTGTACAGAGAATTTCCTTTGACACATCTTTTTAGATCTACTAACTTTTTTTTTTTTTTTTCCATTAATCTCCAAGTCAGCCCAGGGCACATTTTACAGCTTCTTTACTCTTTCTTATTTTTTAACTACAGAAACTGCATTTTAGACCCATTTATTTATCTTGTCTCCAGATAAGAGAGATATAGAAAGTGAGTGGCAAACTAAGAATTACATGATTCAATGAATGTGGAGTAAAATGACTAAGATTTTGAAATAGAGTGGGTTTTTTTTTTGTCCTACAATGCCACTATAATTTAGGTTTTATCAGATATCACTTGAAAATAGACTCAAACAACTAAAGATTCCTGTGTGCATATCATGCTTCAGATTTTGAGACAATGATCTTTACTTCAAATCATATGATTCCGGAGAATTTGCCACAGATCTATAAAAAAAAAACTGCCAAAGGTAATTAAAGGAACTGGGATCTATGTGTGACTTCCCTAAATTCAGAGGACATTTCCTCATATTTTAAAATGATCTTCCAAGATTTAGCTCCACAAGGAAAGGTAAGAATATTCATTTTTAATGTCAATAACTACAAGATTTTCTTTCTTAAAGAAAATGAATTATGAATCCAAATACTTTTTATATTTCAATAAACCTACAGAACTTTCTAAACAATGATTTTTGGTGGCATTGGAAATGGGTGTAAGACTACAGTAGGGCCTGGCACAGTGGCTCATGTCTGTAATCCTAGCACTCTGGGTGGCTGAGATAGGAAGATTGCTTGAGCTCAGGAGTTTGTGACAAGCCTGAGAAAGAGCAAAACCCCATTTCTACTAAAAATAGAAAAATTAGCCAAGCATTGTGACATCCACCTGTAGTCCCAGCTACTCAGGAGGCTGAGGCAAGAGGATCACTTGAGCCCAGGAGTTTGAGGCTGCAGTGAACTATGATGATGCCAGTGCACTCTACCCAGGGCGACACAGCAAGACTCTGTCTCAAAAAAAAAAAAAAAAAAGACTACAGTAGATACACATCAACACATTGCCAGTAGTTCTTTATATGTTTTCACTGTGTGGACACACAAAGCAATCCACACAGAGAAGCTAGAGAAGTTCCTCCATTGTAACAAAATCAACAAGTGATCAGTGTCTCTTAATTAGAGCCATATTTGTCTGAAAATTTTCTCAGACAAAGGAAATAAACTCTGTCAATAAACTCTAAGTGGAATGATATCATTCTCATTTTAGACACAAATACCTGGCTATCAACACATTTCAACTTTTTTAAAAACAAACAAACAAACATACATCTGGGAACCATTACATTTCCAGGATAAATTTATCTTTCTGCTATGTAGAACAGATGCACACACACACAAAGACCACCTCCCACAAACTTTTTTTCTTTTTAGAGACAGGGTCTCACTTTGTAGCCCTGACGGGAGTGCTCTGGCTTGATCACAGCTCACTGCAGCTTCCAATTCCTAGGCTCAAGCGATCATCCTGGCTCAGTCTCTTGAGTAGCTAGAACTACAGACACACAACACCACACCTGGCCAATTTTTAAAAATGTTTTTGCAGAGTCAGTGTCTCACTGTGTTGCCCAGGCTGATCTCAAACTCCTGGCCTAAGGCAATCCTCCTGTCTTGGCCTCCCAAAGTGCTGGGATTACAGGCATGAGCCACTTATCCAGCACCCCACAAACATTCTAAGACAAGAAAGGGAATGAACTACATTCAACTGACAAGGGGTTGGGTATTTTGCCTTTATAATCTGAGAGCTGCAACTTAATAGCTTGATAGTTTTCTTAGAAAACTACAGGAGGTAAATATATTCACCAACTACTAAGGAATTTTTCATTTAAAATTAATTTTAAGGGTACACTTTAAGGCTGATAACATTTTGAAATGTCAGGCTGATATTTATGCCTTTATAAAGGGTTTCATGTAAATACATTTTAAAAATAAGAAAAGTTTTTTTGTCAGACTATGGGTCCCAATTTATTGTTTGGAAATATGATTCTGTTCATTCAGGTAGGACAAATATTTTTTTCATGTGTTTTATCCACAGTGCAGAGATTATGAACACAAGCTTTGGAATTGGACACACCTAGGTGTAACATCTGGCTTTGCTACTTTTGTACTGTGGGCAAAATATTTTGCCTCTCTGAGCACTGGTTTCATCAGTAATGTGAAGATGATAATAATGTTTTTTCCTCCTCAGTAAAGCAGAGATAAATGATAATGCTTATCTCATGAAATTGCTATGAGGATCAAAAGAACTTAGTAGAATGCTGGGAACATAATATCAATTGACTATCATCGTCATCATCATTATGAGCTCTAAAACAGATAGCAATACCAATATTACATATATTTCACTTGTAATAGTATTTAAATGGCCACATTTTAGAGGCTTATTAAAAATAGAAGTCCTAAAAGTAACAGGAAAAAAAAAACATAAAAGAAATACTAAGACATAGTGACATTCAGAATTTTGGAAAATTGGACTGACAGTAATGTAAACTGTTGACCTAAACATCAAAAAAAAAGCCCAACTACCTAACCAGGTAATACAACATTTTTTTTAGATACTATATTTCAATGAAAAGAGTGCTTGGTTTTCATCCTCCACCATTCACAATGGAAAACTTTTCTCTAAAATGGTGCCTGATACGGAAGCATCATTGCTTTTTGTATATCTTAATAAAGCCCTCTATTATTTGTAGTTTTTTTTTTTATTGTAACCATGGAAGAGGTGAGGTGCATAGCAATACAAGAACTATCACTTCTGTTAGGGAGAAAAATTGATAAATAGCAATCACAGGACCTTAATGACTTCTATTCACAAATTGACTGGTTAAGGAAGTAAGAGCCAATATTCAGCATATTTGTGTTTTATAGCAGATGCAATGTCAAGTCTAGAGAGGTAAGAATAATGCTACCAACTACATGGTTACAAATGCAAAAAATGGCTTTGATTCATATTATTTGCATTGCTTTCAGAGCACCTGTTCCTTCATTCTATAGACTTGCCTGCTTAAGTGGTTCAGACATCATGATTGTTGCTATAGTTTCCAGCTGTGTTAATCAGCTGATACACCAATCACAGCATATCACAACTTCAAATAAAACAAAACCGTTTTTGTGGGGAAGATAGTTTAAGACATAATCCTAACCTTCCATATTCTGTAATTAAAAAGAATTAAATTTTCTGAGGAAAACAATCTAAATAAACACAACACAAGCCAAGATATAGTTAGAAAAACTCAGATACTTATGGGAACTGAAATGGAGACCAATTAATACCTCCTTAGCACAGAGCAGAATTAATATGTTTCTTTGATCTGGAAAATGGTTTAGTGCCTGCTCATTTTTTTGTTGGGGGTACCAGTGGGAGGCCTAAAGCTCATTTTTGGGCCAAATTAGCCAAGTTCAGACTCAAAACTGAAACACCTGAAGCTGAGGTGTGTTTTATAATAAAAGGAAAACTCTATTTTAAAGCAAACTACATTAGAATCAAATATAAGACTTGTCAGATCACAAGACTTTCTCACTTTCTTTATTAGACTCATGAGAAAAACCAAGGGGAAGTGTTAGGAGATCTGAACCTTAAACTGCTAGCATCAGCTTTTTGATAAGGAGTAGCTAGAAATTACTTTAAATTTCCCTAAGACCATTACTTATCTGAAGTAGCACTATTATATAACACTTCCCTATTAGGGAAATCTCATTGTTTTCCAGTCTAGTGATTATGAGTATCAGGAGTAAAATATAAATTGCTCCTTTTTTCTTTCTCTCATTTTCTCTCTCTCTCTCTCTCTTTTTTTTCTGTATCTCGTTTGGATAATACATTACATACATAAACTACATCTGTTAATAGTTGACAATACTTATTTACGTATGTCATGTCAGCAGTTTCTATGTTCAAAGAATCATGTTAAGCCTTTGAGCTCAAACCTGCTAGGTAGACTTTGAAGATAACTATTATTTTAGTTGCTTATCAGTGAGGAATAATAGCTTTTCTTAAACACTGTTCATTTGGTGACTCAGTTATTTACTGTCAATTATGTACAATTAATGATTGAACCTATTTCAAATGCAAAGGCTTAATAGCTCCGGGCTTGAAGAGGTGCATTGCTGTTATTTCCTCAAATAATTCTCTAAGGAATCTGTGTCTGGCCCAACCAGATGTTGTCAAAGGCTTAAGTAGACCTTAAGGGATTATAACTCTTTATATACCGGAAGACTCTTTAAATTCCCCTGGGTTTTCTAGGGTAAACAACCCCAGTTCTTTTAACTTTTTCTCACACTTCTGTGTGTGTGTGTGTGTGTGTGTGTGTGTGTGTATGACTCTCTTACAGATTTTTTCCAAATTCTCCACATTCTTCTTTAGATTTTCGAGGAGGTGCCTAGTATGAAACATGGAATTCCATAAAGGATCTGGTAAGTCCTTAGTATGGTGAGCGTGTTCTCTCACAGGTCTTCAATTCACATTCTATAATGCAACGTAGTATTAGTCTTACATTTAAAATGACACTTCCAAAAAAGAATACATTTCATCATTATCAGATTTTAAAATCTGAACTCAGCCTCCTTTTATTTCTCAAATTATATTTAAAGAATTGTTTTGATTACCCTGTTGAATTCCTCTGCACCTGTTTTGCTGAAACTGTGTTTCTCCCGGGTGATTTTTAATTTCTTCATATTTGCTAAGGCAAATGACATCGGAAGTGGAGGGTGCGCATGCTAGGGGTGCTCAAGACCATCTACTACGGTTCAGAAAGAAAACATTGCAGTGTCTATTTATTTTCTTTACAAGGTAAGGAAGATACTAATTCCGTCATTCAACAGAATGTTGACATTGGCGTGTTCATATAATCCTTTGTCAGTCACGTCTTGAGTGTGGTGTGTGAGGTGACCTGAGGAGGTTGCGTTTTCCACAGCTTGAAGGGGGTGCCTGGGTGCCCTCGTTCATCCACAACCAGTTTATTGCAGTTCTGGGTAGTAGAGGAGGTCACTGATGTGGTTGATTTTGTAAAAACAAAATCTTTTCAATAGAATCTATGGAATACCTTTTACTGACAGGGAAGTGATTTTGAAAACTTTGTCTTCTGGCAAAATATTCCCAATACTGGTGGTTAAAAGCACAGACTCTGGGCACATTGCCTAGATTCTGACCATAGTACTACTATCACCAGCTGTGTAGTCCTGGGAAAGTTTAACATCCCTGGGGGATCAGTTTCCTCATCTGTAAAATGGAGATAATGATAGTATCTTCTCCACTGAGTTGTTCTGAGGATGAATGAGTTTATACACACACACACACACACATACACCCATACATATATGAAAATCGCAAAATAGGTATTATATAAGCTCAAATTGTTATTACTTAAAAGAATATTTAACTATCAAGATTATGCATTTTTCTTCTGACAAAAATATAGTACAAGTGACCCAGATTTCCCTACCTTTTCTGTTATAATGTATGTGGGTAGTATGCTACATAGTGAATATTAAACACACACACATACACACACACACACACACACACACACACACTGTCCTTAAGGTAAAGTTTTAGCAATGAGTGAGAGAGTAATTTCTTTCCCTCCATTTCCTTTAAGTGTACATTTCTTTTGAAATGTATCAGGTAATAAAGCATCAAGTGAAGGCAAAAGACTTTTTTACTTAATAAAATACCATTCAGTTATTTTAAATATTTTATATTTGTGAAACATTTTAAAGGATGGAATGCATATTCCGAAAGCATGATGTTAATTATCTTCCACATCCCTATTCCTTGGTTGATTGTCATCTAAGAATATAATGTCTTTTGTTCTCTTCCTTCATTCAATAATTATTTGTTGTGTACCTATTGTGTGCCAGGTACTGTGCTAGGCTCAAACAGGCAGAAATTTAAAATATAATCACCACCCTCCAGCAGTACTATCTATCATTTATGAAACACATATTAAGGAACTATTCCACAACCAAACTCTACAAAATCACCTGTTTCTCAGCTCCTTTCCCTGACTCTACTCCCAGACCTTTAAATAGGTAATGATCCGCTATGGATTGGGATCTGAATTTTGAGTCCGGTCACTTGAATACCCATTTAGTTTTGATATGGTTTAAATGAACTGTTTATGACTTATTTTCTCTTCCAGGTATCTTCAAGGTGCTTTTATGCCAATTATGTGAATATAAATATTAATATCACTGATTCGACAAACATTTCCTCTGCAAAGCACTATGTTAAGACAGAGAAAAGATACAAGGTACAAAGATGCTCTGTGCTTTCAAGGGGATTTTATCTTTGATATAATATGAGAAAATGAGAAAAGCACCTTAATTTTTTTCCTCATGCCATGTGGATTGCTTCTACTATTGAGTATATTTCTCAGTGCACTACATTTCTATCATATCACTTCTGCCTTGCACCATGTTTCTTCTGGCTTGGTACCATATTATTTGAAAGTTTTACAGACATTTTATTTGATGTAACCACTTCTTTCAGATTTCATCTCATTACTTCTAATTTCAACCCATGACTGGGATAAATTGTGTTTCATTGCTACTTATTTGCACTGAAAAACAATCATCTGAAAAACAGGTAGAGGAAAATACTGCTGAAAACTAAGATGATAGAAATAAAAATTCTCTATGCCTAAAATGGAATCCTCTACTTCTCCCTAAATAGCAGTGAAAAAGTGATGATTTGAGGTATTTAAGGCAAGAGACTGGACTGCATGGGTCTTGTTTGCTTTTAAACCCTGCAAATAAGTAAAATAAAAATTCACAGCCTTCAGAGGAACTTCTTATACCTGTTTGGCTTTCTAAAGGTAAGTGGTACTAACAATACAGAAACTTTGGGCATAGAATAAATGTAGTAGTTACCAAAATTCAATTGATAATACAAAATTCAATTCAAAAAAATATAAGCAGCACATTAAGGCAATTTTGTTACTCAGAGAGACAATATGTTTATTTGAATCTTAATGGATCCATGAGCTATCCGTCCCACACACACACACAAATCCAATCTTTGCTACAATAATCCTCTTCTTGGAACATATAAAGAAAAATACAATTTGAACAAATTTTAATATAGCCTAGTGACTAAGTACATGGCTTTAAACAGCCGTGGGTTTCAATCTCACTCTGCTGCTTACCTGCCCTGGACCCAGACATGTTTTTTGACTTCCCTAGCCTCAGTCTTATTTGTAAAAGTAGCTCTTACTTCATAAGCTTGTTGTGAGGATTAAGTGAGGTAAACACATGGTAAGAACATAATTCATGGTAAAATTTAAAATTATATATATATTATACAGTAGTCACCCTTATCCGTAGTTTTGCTTTCCACAGTTTCAGTTACCCAGAGTGAACTGTGGCCCAAAAATATTAAGTGGAAAATTCCAGAAATAAACAATTCATAAGTTTTAAATTGCACACCATTCTGAGAAGCATGATGAAATTTTGTTCCATCCCACTCTGTCCTGCCCAGAATGTGACTCATTCCTTTCTCCAGTGTGTCCATGCTGTGTACACTACCCGCTCTCTACAATGTGATTGTATAGGAAAAAACATGGTATACATAGGGTTTGGTATTATCCAAAGTTTTAGGCATCCACTGAGGGTCTTGAAACATGTCCCTTGTGGATAAGGGGGACTGTTGTATAAATTACTTATATAAAATATATATGCCATTATTTTGGGAAAATTGATGGCTCTCCCAAAGATGTCCACATTCTAGTCCTATGAATGTGTTACATTACCTGGCAAAGAATTAAGGTCACAGATAGAACTAAGTTTGCTAATCAGCTGACCTGAAGATGGAGAGAATATCCCTGGTGGATCCAGTGTAATCACAGGGTTCTTTAGAAGTCGAAGAGGGAGCCAAAAGAGTCCCCTTGAAAAGAGTCCAAGAAAGAGATCTGACTATGGAAGAATGGTCAGAGAGGTGCCATATTGAAGGCTTTGAAGGGGGAGAACTAGGCCACAAGTCAAGGTATAAGGGTGGCTTCTTGAACCTGGAAAAGACAAGGTGACGGATTCACTCCTAGAGCCTCCAAAAAAGGAACACAGCTCTGCCAACCCCCTTTTTAGCCCATTGACACCCATGTTAAACTTGTGACCTTCAGAATTGTAAGACAATAAATCTGTGTTGTTTTAAGCCTCTGTTTGTGGCGATTTATTACAGTAGCAAATGGAAAACAAATTGCATGTATAGATAGATCAGGAGCCTTTCAAAAGATACAGGCAAGTGCAGGCATATGGAAAATCATGTCTTAAAATTTTTGCCAGTTTTGGAAACTATGCTAACTCATAAACATTTTCATTTTTGTTTTCTTTCTTATAACTAATTGCAAGCATTTGATTTACCCTATTATGAGATCATTCTCCAAGCAACGGAAGTGCTGTTGACTTACAAACAGCTTAACCCATTATGGTTTCTTGATGATGGCAGCTGACAATCACAAAAAATAAATTTTATTTATGTAAGGTTAGTTTTTTTTTTTTATTTTTTGTGTCTAGACCCCCGAGAGTATCATACAAATTGGTTATGAGCTGACAATGCCTGAGACTGACAGGAGAGGCCCTGTTTGTTAGTCACCACCAGTTGATTGTTGCTAGGCCTGAGAGGTGAGGACAGGGGTTATCAAAGGAGTCAGGCCACACGCACTGAGTGTTTCCTGCCTCTTCTTGGCTCTATCTGAGGCACATTATGTACATTATTGTCTTTAATCCTTATACCCCATCATTATCACCATTTTACAGATAAGGAAACAGAAGTTCAAAGAGGCGAAGTAACTTTAGCCAGGCAAGGAAAGTGGCAGAGCTGAGTCCATCTGATTTGAAGCCTATGTGTGATATTTCTAGTGCACCACGGAGCCTCTGATGTCAATGAGGGTTGCTGGATGAAAGACGCCAGGACCAGGTATAGAAGAGCTTACAAACTCATGCCTAAAGTACCTGGGAGGGGTACGACAGATGCTGAGTGTCAGCGGAGGTGAAAGCGAGATGACAAATGGTAACTGACATCAGTCTCAGTGACTATAGCATGTGGTAGGGACTGTGCATAAACCACAAAGTTCCTGCCCTGGCTAAAGGGAACAGTTGACAGCAGTTACCATTTGCTTGTTGCTATGTAGATCAGAGATCCAGTGTTACCAGATCTATTAATTTTTCTAATAAAAGCTAGAAATATACAGTTTTTACGTGAAATGGCATAATTTCAAAATGCTAGGAACTAATTCACATGTTCTTAGAACACTGCACAGGCCAAATAAACCGTATCTATAAGCAAAGCTGCCCCATGGGCTGCCAATTTGAGACCACCAGTGTAGACTGTGAGAATCCACACTGACCCAGGGAATGGTCTGTCGTCATGCCAAAAAAAGATGTGGAAAGATTGGATCACGGTTTGATTGAGCTCAATGAGTGGAGAAGGTGCCTACTCTAAGGACAAGGGAGTCTTCTTCTAGGGCTTTGAGGCAGCTCAGAGAAGGGACTATGACTCAACTTTTCCACAGAATCTTCTTAAAGAGACCTGTCTAACCAATAATAAAGGAACTGTAAACATATTAAGACACCTGTTATTTTTTCTTCTTCTCTTTGTTAATGCATAAGCACTTTTTGGCAAACCTTCATTGATAGGTATGCTTATCTGATGTATTTCTATATGTAATAATTAGGAACCAGATTATATTATTTTAATAGAAAGCAGCTTAATAACGTGAATCCAATTTTATGTATATGCAAAAAAGTTGACATAATTATCTGTAGAGTGGGAAGAAACAGTACACGGCTTTGAAAATATTTATTCAAAATAGTGCAATATCAAAGAAAGAAAATGAAAATGGAATTTATACACATTTGAAGTAGAAAGCTTTGATTTGAGAAACACAGAAATAATTGGAGGAAACACTGAAGGACGAGTCGATGTAGGACACGGTGAGTTGTATAGAGTGCATCATCTTCACCATGGTGATTTTTCTCCAGCAAAGCTCTGCAGCCCTGATCCAGCCACGGAGGGGCAGACAGCTGGATTGAACCTGGGTCAGGAAGGTTTAAGAGAAGGACAATGGAGCAAAGGAAGAGAGCCCAGGTAGGGGCCATGCCATTTCAAAGACCGAGGCACAGAGGATTTGAACAGGTAGGGAGTGAGGTTTAACAAAAACTTTTTATGCACAATCACACTATTAATAGTATTTTACATTTTAAAGTACATTTCAAGTTTCAAAGCATTTTAAAAATTAGACTTTATTTTTTTTTTGAGCAGTTGTAGGTCCACAGTGAAACTGAGAAGGTATAGACATTTCTCATTATACTCCTTGCCTGCACATGTGCACAGTCTCTCCCATCATCAACAACCATGCACAAGTGGTATATTTGTTGCAATTGATGAACCTACACTGAAACATCCTTAGCATCCAAAGTCTATGGTTTACATTAGGGTTCTCTCTTGGTGTTGTACATTCTGTTGGCTTTGACAAATATATAGTGACATCCATCCACTATTCTAATATCATACAGAATAATTTCACAGCCCTAAAAATCCTGTATTCTTTGCCTACTCATTCCCCCCATAGATTTGGCTTTTCTAGAATGTCATGTAAGGCCGGGTGTGGTGGTTCACGCCTGTAATCCTAGCACTCTGGGAGGCTGAGGCCGGCAGATTGCTCGAGGTCAGGAGTTCAAAACCAGCCTGAGTGAGACCCCGTCTCTACCAAAAATAGAATGAAATTAATTGACCAACTAAAAATATATATACACAAAAAATTAGCCAGGCATGGTGGCGCATGCCTGTAGTCCCAGCTACTTGGGAGGCTGAGGCAGAAGGATTGCTTGAGCCCAGGAGATTGAGGTTGCTGTGAGCTAGGCTGATGCCACGGCACTCACTCTAGCCTGGGCAACAAAGTGAGACTCTGTCTCAAAAAAACACAAAAACAAAAGAATGTCATGTAGTTGGGATCATACAGTATCTAGTCTTCTCACATTGGCTTCTTTCACTTACCCCCCTCCGTCTTCTCATGGCTTGATAGTTCGTTTCTTTCGAGCACTAAAATATATTCCATTGTATGGATGTACCACAGTTTATCCATGCATCTACTGGAGAACATCTTGGCTGCTTCTAAGTTTTGGCAATTATGAATAAAGCTGCCATAAACATTCATGTGCAGGATTTTTGTGGACAAAGCATTTTTGCATATGCAGTCTGAATATAGATGCAAATTCTCACAATCAAACCCTAAGAAGCCAAATATAGTACAGTGAATCAAAGCGTATATCAATATGACCAAAAGAGTTTATCCTTCAAAAACACAATAAAACAATAAAAACTATAACATTATGATGTAGGCATAAAAGGCTCTAAATTGATGTTCTTAACAAATGTTTTGAGGAATTAACTCTCTATTTCATCATCTCCCTCATCTTCTCTCTGCCCCAATGGAGGGCAACCTTCAACAGCTAGTATGATCTAGTGAGTTAATGGCTCTGTAGCCAGGTGGTTGGTATTTGCTCTGTTTGAGTAATGGTGCTCTGACACTTATGAACTGCATGGCTTGAGGCAAGTTACTTAACATCTTTGTGTCTCTTCTTCCCCCTCAGTAAAACAGGGACTTTTAATAGTACTTACTTCATGGATTAAACGAGTTTAAATCTATAAATTATTAGAATAACATCTGGCACAGAAATGTTTGTTAAATGAATAACATGGACATGGTCTCACAGGGCTGTACACAATTCTGATGAGGTTGTCCTGTTGAGCCTAATTGTCTGGATTGCAATTTGATTTTATCCTACTTACACGCCAACAAGGTAGCCTGTTACTGTTTTCATGCATGCTGGAAGAAGACGCGAGACATCTGAGTCAGGGAAAAAGAACTTTATTATTCACAGCATGGCAAACAAAACAAAACATGAACATCAGCATGTTTGTACCAGTTCCTCTTGCCCCCAAGTTCCACTGGGGTGAAATGAAGGCTCAGACAGCAGGTTTACGTAGCAACTGGGGAATAATGAGTTTGGGAAACCCACTTCCTTTACAGCAAACAGCAGACTTAGCCTGCCCTTTATCCCAGAGGGAGATGCTAGTTACCTCATCCCTCAAGCTTACTCACTGCAAACGCAACCCTGTGAAAAATGGTTTAAAGAATGGTGTGGCAGAAAGCTTTTAAGATGGCCCTTCCTGGCTCTTGCCTCTGGTACTCACTCCTTTGTGTAATTCCTCCAATTCACTGTGGGCTAAACCTATGGACTTACTTCTAACTAATTGACTACAGCACAAGTGATAGGATGTTGCTTCAGAGATGAAGTTATAAAAAGACTATGGCTTCGGTCTTGGGCATCTTCTCATGTTTTCTCACTCG